GATAGACCTCTATTATTGATTGCTTAAATAAATTACTGCTATCATATGTACTCCAAATTAATATTTTTTTATTATAATAAAGAAACCCAATGAAAAGCACACAACAAATTCACTTTAAGCCAATCTTATAAACTAATGACAATTATTATAAGTTTGTTCTACGGTTAGTGATTGGTAGCATACGTTGGCTTGGCCCAACATTGGCTATTCATTAGGGGCTAAGCATTGAGATTTGAGGTCAAGGATAAATTTTTTTAAGATTTCAATTTTCTATACAGGTACATGAACTTCTAATTCTTCATCATAATTCATAAAACTTGGGAACCTTTCTTGAAAGGAGGAATTTCAATTCATTGGTCTGTATACTTTGGATGGATCTAATCTCTCATAAAGTTTGAAGTTTTTTTAAAAAAATTATTATAACTGTTTTTTTTTTTTTCACTATTATTTTTACTGTGAAACCAATCACATCAAGGAAGATTGTGATAGCGTAAAAAGTAAAATTACCTTTGCTATTTTAATCCAGTCAACTAATGCACAGGATATTTGAGGCAATTATAGTTAAACTTACTCTGTTTTTATTGTTCTATATTGACTTTTACATAGTTCATGTCTTAAATTAAACTAATTTCTACTAATGTATAAAAGCAAATGTTATATGTAAAATATTCTTGGACTTGTATCACTATTTATATTGTCAAAATATCAACATTTATTTTTTTACTTATAAATATATAGATATAAAAGTCAAAGTTGTGCATTAACGAATGTGGAAGTCTACACTTTGTTATATTTTCATTTCTTAATTATAAGAAATACCATATGAAAAATAAGACTAGAAGAGGGAATGTAACAGTGGAGATCAAACAAAAACTTGAAATCAGACCAAATAATGACAAGTGACTGAAGTAGGTTGATTAGGGTAAACTGTAAAAACCATTGTGATGATGAAACATGGTAGAATTGTACTTGTACAAAGCAATAAAAACGAAACGGGATTATGGAAAAGTTGTTAAAAAAAACAATGTAGTTTGAGACAAATAAGAAAATTGGTGGATTATACGAAGGTAATAGTATAATTTATAACTCTGTTGTAATTGGTGGTCTTGATTTTAAAAAATACAACGATTGATATGTAATCAAAATACAACAATTGGTACATAATCTTGTTTGGATGAGTATTTACTAACTGCTACTACTAGTTACCTATAATTAACATTATTCATTCACCTAAGAATTCCCTTTTGCTTTCAATTAGAATTTGCAAATATTCTGTTAAATATGCAGTGGTGATGTATAGGATATTAGCAGGAAAAAAAAACTTTTAAGTCAAAAGCTCCTAATTTTTTTTTGGTTTTTTCTATACATTAACCCTCTTAACATATATCACTTTTCACACTGTAACCTCAAATACATTTTGTTTTCATAGGGTAACCTTGACGTTATCCTGCCGTTAATAAATTCCATGAGTGAGGCCCACTCTCCATTGATTAATATTTTTTTATGGATTTGCGCATTGAAAAATGTTCCGTTAAAGGTTATGGGGGCTATTTTGGTTCTAGAGGGTCCAAATTGAGCTCAGATTTGGCAAAAAAATAACCTAAGTGCCTCGTTTTGCGTATTAAAATATGAACATGCAAATCGAGACATTCTTAATAAGCAAAACGAGATATTTTCATTATTTTTTTTTGCCAAATCTAAGCTCAATTTGGATGCCTAAAAGGCCAAAATAGCCCCCAAAACCTTTAACGAAATATTTTCCAACGCGCAAATCGATAAAAAAATATTAATAAATGAAGAGTGGACCCCATTAATGGAATTTATTAACGGCGGGATAACGATAAGATTATCGTACATAGAAACAAAATGTATTTGAGGTTACAGTGTGGAAAGTGATATATGTTGGGATATAAAGTGAAATTAAGAGGGTTACGGTATAGAAAAACTTTTTTTTTTTTTAAAGTTAATTATATAAATCACTCCCAAAAGTTAATTTGCATTCAAATCGATTTTTTCTTATAGCCCACTCCGTAACTCAGTCAAATGTTGAATACAATTTTCAATGTCCTCTTCCCCCTACCATTTTGATGTCCTTGTCAATGCCTTTTTAATGATGAACATGATAATTATTATTCCAAATTTTTTACTGCGTAATTCCTCCGTTCTAATAATATTGCAACAAAGGTGAAATTAATAAATTACGCATTTCAAAATACATTTTATATGCTAAATATTTATAATTGTATAAGAGTAAAAATTACTCCATTCGTCCCATAATACTTGGGATGTTGGGATGGACACATAGTTTAAGAAAACTACAAGTTGGTCCATTTAAATTGTTTGTTTAACATATAAAGGATTCTCTCTCGTATTTCTATATTGTAAGAAAACAAAAAGTGAGGGAGGTTGGGGTAGTGAGGAGAGAGAAAATGTAGGATTTAATTAGGTTTTGGAATTTGTTGGTCCCAGAGAGAGTAGGAAAAAAAATATTATTAGTGGTCCCATTTCATATTTGGTAACGTGTCAAGTATTTTGGGACGGAAGGGGTATAAAAAGTTGATATTATCAAAGTATTTTATGAGACCAATCTAACAATATCCCATACGACTATATTTTGCTTAACGTATAAATCATATTTTATGGTCAAACAAGAGTTATGAATAGTGCAAAAGTCCCATTGTTGTAATATTATTGGAACGGATGAAGTATTTTTTTTATTTTTTACAAAATTATCTTTTATTTAGGCATGCTCACCATAATTAAAAGGCAAAAGCTAACGAACGCCCCCGGGGCGTTAGATAAGACAACTAAATGTGGAAATATCATAGTAAAATTAACATTAATTACACCGATCGACGTGTGAATTTGTGATGCATTTCGAACTTAATACTATTTTAAGTAATATATTAATCCTTTACCTAACGCCTCGGGGCGCTGTTAAAATTATCATATGGTAAAGTAAGAAATAGTAAAATTATCATAAATTTAAATGTCCTCTTCCCCCTTACCTTTTGTTACCATTACCAAACATACGATTTTGCTACTTTACTTAACAATGATATGTAATTTTCAAAAACAAAATTACCACTCGTACTCTAGTATATAGAAATCTATATGAAGTATTAAGTTGAATTTTTTCAAACCAATACTGTATTTTGTGATAGAATAATATTACTTCTCAGTGTTTATTGTATTTATTTTTGGTGTAGAGAGCTGCATGCAACAACATTAAGGTAGGCATAATTCAATTTTTAGTATTACCCTTTCACCACCATTACTTTAATCAATTAACCTACTTAACATCAATACCCCCTCATTATCTAATTTTTTTTTTGACAAACATTAAGGATGTGTTTTATTTATCTGATTTTCATTCTAAATTTACCTTAACTTATTAAATCTTATAAAAACTTATTTTAATTGTTATTTGTATTTGAACAACCTTTATCATAACTTATTTTTCCTGGACTGAACTTAACTAAACTTATTACACTTGAAATAAGTAAAAATAAAGTGAACGAAACAGACCCTAAATACTACCTCCGTTCCATATTATTTGCTATTAAAGATTATTTCCATATCTTACAAATAATATCCATTCGTTATAAATAATATGAAATAGAGGTAGTATTATGCTCAAAATATCTCGGACTAACGGATAACCTAGATTAAGGGCTTGTTTAGTTTACCTTATTTTTGCTTATCTGATTTAATATGATATAGTCTGATCTGATCGTCTGATTTTACCAAACTTTGACCTTATATGTACAACTATCTATAAAGAAGAAATATATCAAGTGGGGTCTTGTTAGATTTACATTAATGTGTATTTTATTAATAACTAATTTTTATAATTTTTTTCATTACGTAATTAAAGATATTTAACGTTAAAAAACCGCATATAAAATGATAATCTAATTTATACTTATTTTTTCTGATCTGATGTGATATAAACTTATTTTTTCTAAAATAAGTTGAATTAAACAAAACCTAAGTCCTTGTAAATAAGATAAGCATAAATCACATAAGAATAATAAATAGGGAGGGGAGAGAGAGTAGGGTCTACAGTTGTAGTAAAGCTATAGGAGGAAGATCTTACCCGTCTTGAAAGCCATGTAATCTCCTAATAATAATGTAACCCAAAAGGTCTTTAGAAAAGCGTCATTTGACGCTGAGTGGGATAGGGGGTACGTGGCTATTTGAGCGTCGATGACAGCTAATATGAATCCTCAAAGCAAGCACAGAGTCTCTGCCGGAAAATGATAGTACTCCTTTCTTTGTGTGTGTATGCATATGATGCGTATCAATTTCATACAACTCAGCTTATTTTATTAATTATTATTATAATTTTTTTGAAAAATTACAAAATTTAATCTAAATATAAACGTATTATCTACTAAGTGAGATTATGATTTTTTTTTTTTTTTTTTTTTTTTTTACAAATTTTTAGTTTTAATTATTACTCCCTCAGGCCTATGTTATGTTATGCTTTTAACTTTTGTGTTTACATAGTTTTTTAAGTTATGTTGCTTGAACTTTTCATTTGACATCAAGAGTGTAAACATTGTCACTTCCTATTTTCTAAAATTAGGTTGAGTTATATTCACATTCGTACTGGACATGAGTACTCGAGTCCGAATAACATAGATAATAGGCTAGTATAGAAAATGTATTGAGATAAACAAATATGCAAATAATTTGAGACACACGAACGAGTAATTGGTGAATAGAGTCAAAGTGTGCAAATAACTATAAGATTGAATTATTATGTTATAGTATCAACAGTACAAATAAAAAATTGTTACTCATTAGATTTTAGAAGGATAAGGTATTCAAGCAAATGTGACTCATTAGTCTTCAATTTATTAATATCCTATTGATCCCATTTTTATGGTACGGATTAGTATTATAATTGTGATTAATTATAGAACTTTGTATGTCATTAGGACAATTATAGTATAATTATGACAAAGAGAGATTATGAGATCTTTGGGGCTTAAATTTCTCCAAAGAGAAGGGACACGTCGCCTATGTTATAAACTGAGGACGGCACCGAATCCTGTTGACTTCCGCTTTATGTCAGCCTCATTTCCTTTATATAACCCCCTTGTACTCCTCATACGGACCCTACAACATTTTTGCTTCATCTTTAACATACATTTTTTTTTTCCTTCTAAAACTGAAAATCCTCTTATTTTCTCTCTCTACAAAAAAGTTCTTAATCATTAGGACACTTCAAAACTCTAGTCTTAAATTTTTAAGGACATACTCCCAAGTCTTAGTTTCTCATCATGGGTAGAGCACCTTGTTGTGATAAAAATGGTTTGAAGAAAGGTCCTTGGACTCCTGAAGAAGACCAAAAACTTATTGATTACATTCAAAAACATGGTTATGGCAATTGGCGCACTCTTCCTAAGAATGCTGGTAAGTTTCATTTGTTCTGTTCTTCGTTTTTAGTATGCATCCATTTAAATTCCACAGAATTAATAGACGAATCATCGCTATCCCGGTACTTCGGGTTGTTAGCTTCCTTCTTGGGATGCAGACAATGTATTGATGATTTTGAAAACTAATATATGTGTCCATGTATTGGGAGACGTTTTTTTGTATCGTCAAACATTATTAATTCACCCATCTAGAAGTGTCAACAAGTTTTAGGTATGTGTGTTGATGCACATGAACTAAAATGGACTTTTTGTTCTTCTTGTGTAGGACTTCAAAGATGTGGAAAGAGCTGTCGTCTACGGTGGACAAACTATCTCCGACCAGACATCAAGAGAGGAAGATTTTCCTTTGAAGAAGAGGAGACCATAATTCAGCTCCATAGCATTTTGGGGAACAAGTAAGTCTTTTTTTCTTATCTTACTAAAAAACATAGATGAGTGTACTAAAAGATTTTACAAAAAAATGTCCAATATTTCTTCTTTGGACCACTGTAGAGATGTAGATGTAAGGTTCATGCACGGAATCTATATTAAGGTCACAATCATCACAATGAAACTTTTGATTTTCTTAGCTTGAATCTAATCTTGCTTCTTTCTTTGACTGTCAACAGATGGTCGGCCATCGCAGCTCGCTTACCGGGACGAACTGATAATGAAATCAAGAATTATTGGAACACCCACATCAGGAAGAGGCTGCTTAGGATGGGAATCGACCCCGTGACCCACAGCCCTCGCCTCGACCTCTTAGACCTCTCTTCTTTGTTGAATAACTCATCCTTTTACAACAACACTTCACAATCATCCCAAATGAACATGTCAAGGTTACTTGGAATGCAACCTTTGGTGAACCCTGACCTCTTAAAACTAGCTACCTCACTTCTCTCAAATCAACGCCAAAACCTACAAGATTACCAAGGAAATAATGATTTAACTAGCAATGCCCAAATGCAAAATAACTTTAATCCAATGGTACAAACTACACAAATCCAAACCCCAATTCAAAATCCCCTCCCAACTTGTACTACTATGACGACTACTGCTGCTACTACTGCTAATATCGCGATTACAACAATAGATGCTACTCGTCCTTGCGTACCATACTTCGACGAAGCTCAATTGATGGAGCCTAATTTTGAACAATATCCTACAAGTATATCGAACTTTGATGCACAAAACTTTGATCAATGGCAAAGTAATGGTTTGCCTATGTCGGATGGCTTGGTTAATATTCAACCTACAAATTTCGGCTATTATGGTTCTGATCAAACTTTCATGGACCCTTCACTGTCTGATAATTCGACTTTTCAATCAAATATAAGTTCACATTCAAACTTCTTGAGTTATGCACCATCAGTTATGTCAACTCCATCTTCAAGTCCTACACATTTGAATTCGAATTCGAATTCAACGACATATGTCAACAGCAGCGGGACTGAAGATGAACCAGAAAGCTATTCCAGTGACATGATTAAGTTCGAAATCCCTGATTTTCTTGATGTAAATCAGTTTTTGTTAGCTCAAACCAACTGATCATGTTATATATTTTTCTTTTAATTAGGAGTTTTTTAAAGATAGATTTTCTTTCATTTGCTTTAACAAGTTTATTTTAATTGTGGACATACTGTATAATTTTATACTTTATGTAATTTTCAGCTAATGAATGCATAAAAATTCAGTATATCCATCATATCTCACTTTGTTTTTGCCTTCATTGGAAGGTTCCCATGATTGGATTTATAGCAATTGATATCGATGGTTTCTTCTCTTAATTTACTTTGTGGCTATATTTTTCTACACCTAAAGTACCATTTTCTTGAAATTAGATATTGAATTAACGCATTTGATGTTGAGTAATTAGTCACAGTATGTGAGATGTGTCAATCATTCTTAATTAATTAAAACTCCGTATGAAATAGTAAACTATATCTAATAATTACAAATAATTTTGTGATGTAGTCGGAATTACTACAATCTCAAGTTTTCAACTAATAATGATGTATAGTAGTCGGGATTTAATACGATCTCATGTCTTAGATACTACTCATACTTAAGAAATTACAAACCCTGCTGGCATCATAAAATATACGGAGTAATTGTATATGTTATTCCGGACATGCATTATTAATACGCAATGATCCATGCGATTAATTAAGGAATTATAATATTAAAAAAAAATTAAGTAATTATAATATTAAACAAAGTTAATGGATTTCGTAAATCAATGTCGTCTTATTCCCAGCTGGCAAACCTAATATGGTATTCTTTAACGGCAAACAACCTATAAAAAGCAAGAACATATCTAAGATTCATATTTTAAATAATCATACACTTCCATAATAGTGTATATGATGTCTTTATAATTATTGGAAACACCGCTGCCAGAATGAAAAAGGGTCTTTTTTTTCATTTAATTTGTTGAAAGTTTTCTCTTTTTTTACTATTTAAATCTGCCTTAATTCAGTGTAGAATAATGAATATTATCCGTGTAATAATTAATTAATCATAGCGAATAATTGCTGTTGTAATCAAGTGTTAAGTCCATATCATTTTTGGTCATCTTTCTTCTTATATCTATAGTCTATATAATAATTGAGGCCTTTAATTTAAATTGTATAGGACTTTTTTCCTTCAATTTTTTTTGGAACGATCGAGTTCAAACATCATAATGAAGAAGAAAGAAAAAAAGAAAAAAAAAAAAAGATATACTTCAAATGTACCAAATTTTTGAAAAAAAAAAAAAAAAATACACTCCATTTATACATTATAAAGACTAACAATATTATAGTAAAAAAATAATTCAAATGCTAAGTATTTGATTTCAAATTGATTTACTCTTTAGTCCAAATATGTAGCCAACCCAATACCACAAGTCCACAACTACAAGGAATTAAGTTCCACAACTCACATTCCCTCAAAATAAAAAGTTCCACAACTCACATTTCTTCCTTAATTAAATTAGCTAGTAAAACAAGCTTATGGTTATTTTGCTATAGCTAGCGACTATCACAAATTCACAATTACTAGTTTTGTCAAACATACGCTAAATAAATAATAGTTTTCTTGGTTCGTTGTTAATTTTTAAGAAAGTAGTGAAATAAACGATCTTTTTTTTTTTTTTTTTTTGAAAGAGTGAAATAAACAATAGCTAGGGAGTACTCCCTCCGTCTCATAATACAATGTCTCTTTTCTTTTTTGGGTAAATTAAAATACAATGCCTCTTTCTATTTAAAAATTGTACTTTTTGACATTATTACCCTCTTTTTAATGAGTTGTCATCTTTTTTTCTTTTACTCTTTCTCTCTCTATATTAATTTTCAATACTTTCTCTTTAACATTAATTTTCAATACTTTCTCTCTCTATTTCTTCAATTACTCTCAACTACTTTTTCTTTCTCTTTATATCTCTCTAACCCCATATGCACATGTCACATGTGTACTTCTAATCATTAGTTTTAAGGAATTTATAACTTTTTTTAATTTTCACGTAAAAACACTAAAAACCCAAAGAGACATTGTATTATGAGATGGAGGGTGTAATATTGAAGAAACGAATCATTAATAATGACCATTAACTATTTTATCTATTTAATTTCTTGGCGCTGTTGAAATGAATAATAGTGATCGTATTAGTTAACATTTTGCCCCCTTAATTAATTCATTTGTTTTTGTTGTTCTCATTATCTTTTCGCACAACTCTCAATGCATGTATTTGAATAATACGAGTATTATCATACTCCCTCCGTTTTTGCTTCAGTTTTCATTTTCAGCCGTTTTAAATACTTGTTCCATTTTCTTATTTAGAAAGTTTTTACAATATTTAATTCATTTCTCTCAATTAGTGGACCAAACATAAGTCATATTTTATTAAATTTCATATTCTCTCTCATTCAATTATCTCTACTACTTTTGCTTTTTACAATTTATTATTCTTCCACCTACCCCACTACCCCCATATTTTATTACTTTTTTCAATTTCTCCTAAAACTCTGCGCATGAAGAAATAGAGCAAGTATTTAAAAATGGGGGGAGTAAAAGCTAAGATATAAAAAGAAAATAGAACAAATATTTGGAATTACATATTCCGTAAAATATATATGTTTTTATACAAGCTAAGATTATATTCCTATAAAAAAAAATATATATATATAAAAAAAGCTAAGATTTTGAATATTTGGAATTTCTGCAAAACAAGATTATATGAATATGTACATACAATAAGATTATATATATATATATATATATATATATATATATATATATATATATATATATATATATATATAATAGAGAACGTAGTACACTTTTTCATATATGGCCGGACTAAAATTATGAAGGTAGTATAACTTTACTAATTAAAGAATACAGTTATTGGTATACTACTATACTAGTGAGATCTACTGAGAAGTCATTACTCCGTATGTATTAAATAAAAAGGTTGTTGATCACAAGTTAATAATAATTCCTTTGTACACCTTGCAACAAGTGAATAGTAATAACAATATTTAATGTACGACAGGTTTCATGGATACCGACAGTGAGTCCCCGGAGACCTCGCCGGAGACAGCACGTGATTAGGACACGTGTCCGACCATCTATGAAATTACTGCCTAATCGCGCTTATGCATTAATTAAAATATAATACTCCTAATTAATTTATAATATATGGTTTAAAATAATACAATTTTTGTACTACAATAATTTGTCTGTTGTCCCTTTGAAAAAAGATTATCTCAATTGGAGGTGAGTTATTTGACTAATGCAATGGCACGTGTATTATGTTAAGAGGTGACAAATTATTACAATTGGGACCACATTTTTCTTAATTGGTAAAGGGCAAAAAAAAAAAAAAAAGGTTTTTTGACTTTATTGAGATTTAAAGATGTGGCGTGTGTCTTGTGCTGGAGTTTTAAGGCCCTTTTTTTTGCTGTTTTAATTAATTTATTTATTATTTTTTGTGGAAAACTAGCCATTTAATAATATTCACGGGTGGAAAAGATTAATTACTACCGAGTACTTTTAAAACTGTAGGAGTTAATTACAAATTTACAATAGCAAAAGATATACTATTGAAGTATACGAGTAATACGATAACTCATTGTAATACCCTGTGTATTAATTTGGATTTAAAATATAATTTCATAAAATGTTACCGTATTTTTTTTTTCTTAATTAGAAACTAATGAAGCTTAATTAAACTGCCCAAATGGGCAAATATTACTGTATTTTAATAGCTACTATATGTATCTTATACGGAGTACAAAATAATATACTTGTATCATAAAGTTGTCAAAACTACAACGTATATTGTAATTACATCTGTCTCAAAGAACAACTCGCTAGCTTCATTGTTTGCTAGTTACATACTCCTACTTACAAGTTACATTACATAAAGTTGTCAAAATTACTGCGTATATAATTCATCATTACACTTCTTCTATTATTGTTTGATAGCATTATTAAGTGTATTTTAATTTGTCACTTAATCAACTATAGATCACTTTTACAATTTAAAGTTCTTTGTATTCATAAAAAAATTTATTTTTGTAATGCATCCAAGAATAAGCTTTCTTAGATACACAACATAGATTTATTACTTGCATTTAATTCATACAAATAATTAAGTAATAGTGAAATTTGAAATACCATTTAAACTTTTAAAAAATATATATATATCAAACTTGCGTCCAGCTTACTCTTTTAATGTAATCTCAGCTCATTCCATTAAGAGAGTTTAAGTAATATTACTTAAACTCTTAGCTTCACAAGAAGATCATACTAAATCCGAATAATACAAGAGTCATATGGTACACAAACTTTCTAACAAAAATACCAAATAATAATTAGTCTTTGCAATTCCTTCAAAAAAAAAAAAAAAAAAAAAAAAAAGTCTTTGTAAGATTTACTTATGATTCATGTCTAAGTAATATACTTTGTTGAGGTACAAGCTACTATCTGTTTTATTGGTTAAAGTCCATAAAAGATTGGACTATCTTCATTTGTCGTTGAGTTGAAATGATAAGCGGAAGATTGTTACTGAATTTTGACTTTGTAATTGTACGGATACATGGCTGCGTGAACCCAACTTTCTTGGCTACTTGGCTTATTGGCTGCAAGGACACACTTTCTAATTTTTACCATAAGTTTATGAGTACTAAAAGTTAACTTTGATGACGGTGAGATTCGAATCCCGGTCTTAACTTAAATTTAGTTCTTAGAATAATTTAAATTATAATTTTGCTTAATTCGTATTTTTTATTGGATCAATATAAAGTTATATAATGTAGAAAAAAAAATTGAACGAATGATAAAATTTACTCAATATCTTTTAGTATATTTCAACTCAAAAAAAATAAGGAGACCGAATTTCTTACTTACATAATTTAATTTTTTGGTGTTACTTGCTTACATATTTGTGATTATTAAATTGCATTTATAAATGTGTATAATAATACAGACAATATGATCATTTGCATGCATGACACAAAAAATTATCACGATCGAATAATCAATAATCCCTTGTAATTATGAGATCATTTTATAAAGAAGGGTGTTGTTGTCATTATCTACATGTATGTTATGCTTAATAGTATGAATCACTTTCTAAGAATTAATAGTCTGTTTGAACTTGATGTTTATTTTTCTTTGTGAGAAGTCATCACTAAGGTGCTACCTAATGATAGGTTATGGCCTAG